CATGATAAGTACAATTAGGGATAACTAAAAAAAAAAATGTGGACAAGTAATTAGGGACATAGGGTGTAATATTCTTTATTAATTCAAATTGACTCCTATTCACCACAATTAATGTCACGACCCGAGTCTACACCCTGGACGTGGCCGGCACTCAAGAACCATTGTTAGTCCCCAAGCGAACCCTCATCCTGACTTACTACAAGCGGAAGACTAACTTAAGCATGCAAAAGCTTAAAACTGAAATAAAATTCAATAAACTCAACCTTTCAAAACTTTAACTCAAATGAACAACTTAGAATAAAATAATATATTCAACTCGCCATAAAATAGGCAACTTAAGTCTTTAAAACATTTAGTAAAATAAATGAATAATACAAACTTCTCAACTATTCTAACTATTTATGAGCCTCTAACTGACAACGATGAAAGTCGGGACAAGACCCATGACATCCTGATTAAACTGAAAAGTAAATGAAATCCTCTAGAAACAAGGAGGCTCACTATAGCCAACTCGAACTCTCAAATGTATCAACGAAGCTCATGTTGATGATCCTGAATACCTGTGTCTGCATCATGAGAAGATGCAGGCCAAATGGCTCAGTATGTGGAATGTACGAGCATGTAAGAGAAATTCTAAAGCATAAACATAAGCTTGAAACTTGATAAAAAAAACATACTTACCCCTTTTCAAACTTACTCAATTCAAGGAATACTCAAGGATACTCAAAACTACTCAAACTTACTCAACTCAAAATATTAGATACTCAACTCAGAGATATGATATTCAACTCTGGGTACTCAACTCTGGATACTCAACTCAATATGACTGAACTCATTTCAATATAAAGCAATTTAAAACAAGTGCAATATAAAGAAAAGGAAAACTGTTTAAATCATGATGTTAACTCATAATCATAATATCATAAAAACATACCATGCTCCCTCTCAAAGTCTACTTGTGCAATGCATGAATGAAGTCTCATACCCCTATTCATACTAAGCAGAACCCTTTGAGGAACTATGCAAATACTGTTGTGGGAGTTTCTCTAACCGACAACCACCACTATGAGCCTAAGTGGTGATACAACGTTTTTACCATCACGCTGTCAGACTGTCTTATACTTTGCCGTCATATAGAACTACTTAACTTAGTGGATCCACTAGCTTAACTTTTGTGATCATCTAAAAAGTATGACCCATTAATACACATGATAGCTACATGGTTTATGGAGACTTGAGTTAATATGAACTCGCATCCCCATATTGGTGCTCAATACTACTCCCAAAAATATACTTAGCTTATATGTTTTAAAAACAAACTTCTTTCTTTGGTTTGAGATAATTACTCAAAACCTAGCGTAAAAGCTCTCTTAGAATCTATGTTCCCTTTCTTGCTCAAAACTCTTTTGGAAATCTCAGTTTTTCCTCATCTTAAATGTGAAAACATTTACTCTTGGGATTACTTAGCTCTCATATATCATTTTAAAGAAAATGAACTTTACTCTTACTCTTTACTCAACAAAGCTTAAGTCTTAAAACAAAGTTTAAACATTTGTAAAAGATTTCTTAAAATATGGTTCACGCCGAATTATGGACTTGAATGACTCAATGCAAGGTTTTCAATAACCATAGATAGAACTTAATACTTGGAACTCAAGAACTTCAATGAAACTACTAATTTCAAGAATACTCAACTCAAAGGGTTCATGCGGAATTATGAGCATGAACTACTCAACTCAAGGACTCAAATGTACTTCACATCTCAAGACTGCTCGACTTATAGGGTTCATGCAGAATTATGGACATGTATAACCCAACTCAAGGACTTCATGGGTAACATGTAATAGTACGATAATTAGGATTATAATCTCAAATGGGTTAGAAACTCAATACTTAAGACTTAGGACATGAAGATATTACTCCTCTCATAGATACTCAACTTCTGGAGTTCATGCGGAATTTATGGGCATGAACGACTTGACTCGTAGGTCTACATAACATTATGGAACTCATGTATACAACTCTTCTCTTTCTCTTACTTCCTTCCTCAAAACTTAACTCAAATCGATGATGGATCTCAAAGGATTCACAATTGAACTCAAAGGTTTTCTTGAACTCTACTCTTAACTCTCTCTTTAATGTGAATTATGAATTCAAGAGTTATGGTTCATGATATAAAGGATGTTGTGATGAAAAAGTAGACTCATGAATACATTCTCCTTATTCTCATACTCACTTGCTCGAGTCTTGAAACAAGTTACTAGAAGTTGTAGAAGACTCCTCAAAAGAACTCAAAGGGATTTTCTTAGAATGTTCGAAAGAATTCACAAAACTTAACTTTTAACTCTACCTTGAATTTGAATTATGAATTCAAGGTTATGATCATGTTAGGAATGATTTTAGGTGTTTAGAGGTAGCTTAGAGTAGTTAGAATCGAAAAAGAGTGAATGTGCACTTTAAACGAACTCAAACGGGGCAACCGACGACAAACTGGAGGGGGCATGCGACCCTGGCACTACTAAACTTCAGAAGAGTGTTTGGGGTGCTCTGGATGGCGCATCGCACCAGGCCCCAACCCAGAAAACTCAACGAAACTCTTTGCTCGTTTTCTCACCCTATTTCACCTAGAATCGAACAGTTTCTTCCCTAATCACTTAGAATTGATTACTTAACATAAGTACACTCTAATCTACTCAATACATCCCTTAAAACACTCACTTTGATCTCAAGAAATCATCAAAAACCCAACACAACAAGATTTAGAAAGAACTTCAAGAACACCTATCAAGAACTCTAATCTTTCAACTTCAAGAATGAAATTTCGCTGAAAATAACATGTTTGGCGTGTGGGTGAACAAACCCAACACTATGGAAGATTACATACCTCTTATGGATTAAACCCATGGCAAAAATCCGCAACAAGATGCAAGAATCTCGACGAACGTTTTCATCCTTTCTCTTCTTGAACTCTCAACTAAAACCCTAGGCGTAAACTAGGATTATAAAATTGAACCTAGTCAGATTAGACCCCTAAAATATTACTAAAAATGAATCAAATCTAATGGGTAAGGAAAAGACCGAAATACCCCTTACTATTTCCGGCTAATTTTTCTTAACTGGACAGTCTAACTTCAAAAGGCAATATCTCACTCATCTGACCCCGAAACTTAGCAAACTCGGCAACATTGGAAAGATAATTCAAAGATCTTCCCTACAATATCTGATAGCACACCTAACTCATCCTGAGCTAGGAGTTATGGTCGTTTAAAGTCGACCCAAAACTCATACTTAGCTTAACTTGCAAAAATTCAGATTTTTGCTATTTCCAATTTAGTTCTTTTTCAAACTCAAGGTGCTACATATAGTGAACTTAACACTTAAGAAATTTTAATTCCTCGGTAAAATCCTACTCACAACGAAGGATGGTTCAAGTCTTAGCTCAAAAATTTTCTGGGGTGTTACAATTAATTCTTAAGTTTTTTTTTAACTTTTCTCTTTCACCAATTATTAATCTCTTGATATGAGTGTTGTGTGTTTATTCTTTATCAATTACTGAGTATTGAATTATGAACGTGACATAAATATTATTAAGAATAAATTTAAATAGTAGTTTTAAAAAAATATAAGTTTTAAAAATGATGAATATTATTATTAGAGTTCTTTTAATTTAAAGGTTCTTTCGATCTTTACCGACGTTCTTGCTAAGTAAGATGACTAGGTTGAAACTAAAATTTTTATTCTCTTTGTTATATATTTGCAACAACACGTAAAGTCAATGAAATATGAATATATTAAGTTAACAATATTAGATAGTTTATACAAGCACAAATTTTAGTGTGAAAAAACTCTTCTTTCCTCAAAGTTTCAGCGAATAAGGTCAGTAATTCCTAAAAAGAAATAAAACTTGAATTGTTTAGCTATCTCTAATCTCATAATATCTAAAAGAAAATATTACTAACGTGCATGTTTAATCGATTTGTTTATAAAAATCGAAAAAAGATAAATAACTTGATCATTGTAACCCAAAATTAAAGCAACCGACCCGCTTATCTTACTTGAACAATGTGACACCCAAAACCTCCAAATCCCAAATTCGCCTCTGTCCATCACTATTGAGCTTAATAATTATACAATCAAGCATACAAGCAGGCATAATGTTAAAGCTAAAGTGATAGGTATTTGTTACATGATTGGTGAAGATATAATTTGTAGATACATGATAGAAGAAACTAAGAATATGAAGAGACTTGAGATTATTTTTTAAAATACATGTATAGAACGATCATAAATATCCGATGACAAATGCCCTAGATTTCTACTCTATAGTATGGCTAATATGAATCTAATTAATAATGTAGTTAAGGCGCCATGAGAATATTAATATTCCAAAAAATATTTGTTGCAAAATTTGACTTCAAAGGGATAATCATCGCAACACTAATTTGTTACAATTCGATATTTAATCAAGTCATAATTGATAGACGATTCCTCAACTTAATTCAATAAATCTTTTTAGCTTTTCTATTTGTTCTTATATATGGAAACTTAGCCATATTAGAGTGAATATTTTGTGACACCTTAACCACCTTATCAGACTCATATTGGCCATATTAGAGTGAAAATAAAAAATATATATCGAAAAGTGAAAGGTGGCCCATACACCACAAAAAGGAAAAAAGTGTCTTATATAGATTTTATGCGTTTATATTTTCAAATTTTGGATATTTATAAGCAGACAATAAAATTTATATAAAATTGATTAATTACGTACACACGTGTTATGTGTACACAAGTGACAATTGATTTGTATTATGCCTAATCCACTCGTCCTTCATTTTACACCGTTGATGGATCAAAGCATCGAACGGCTAAGATTCACGGTCCGTGCCATCCAAAATTAACCAATGAAAACTAGCCCTAATTTCTTATATAAAAAAAATCGCTACATCTCCTTCTCTTCACACAATTTCATACAAACTTCGCTAATTTTCTCTTCAAAGATGGCACCAAAGGCAGAGAAGAAACCCGCAGAGAAGAAGCCAGCAACCGAAAAATCTCCGGTCGCCGAGAAATCAAAGGCCGGGAAGAAGCTACCCAAAGACGGCGGTTCCGCCGCCGCCGGTGACAAGAAGAAGAAGAGATCTAAGAAGTCGGTCGAAACCTACAAGATCTACATCTTCAAGGTGCTGAAGCAAGTTCATCCTGATATCGGGATCTCGAGTAAAGCTATGGGGATCATGAACAGCTTCATCAATGATATCTTCGAGAAGCTTGCTCAGGAATCTTCGAAACTTGCTAGGTATAACAAGAAGCCTACTATCACTTCACGGGAAATTCAAACTGCTGTTCGATTGGTTCTTCCTGGTGAATTGGCTAAGCATGCTGTATCTGAGGGTACTAAGGCTGTTACCAAATTCACCAGCTCTTGAATTTAGGGATTTTTTTTTGCTGTTTTTAGCTGTTGGGTTTATGGGTTCGAGTAGTGTTTTGTGATGTAAAGAAGAAACAATGATTAGTTATCGGCATAGATTTTTCAAGTTTCTGCATTTGTAATGGTTTTCAACATGATTTACATGGTAAGATGATTTTATTTGAAAAAACTTTTGCACATGTTATAATATACCTTATGTAAATAAGTTAATCAAATAAAATGAGACGCTTTTCTCTTATGCACATTATCCTAGTGTAACAAATTTTACAATTTATTGATGGTATAAAACTACAAATAATGGATATAAGTTCTGACATATAAAACAGTTAACTTATCTACCCAATAATTATTGGTGAACATGCACAAAAGAATTTCTATAATTTGAATGCGATGATGTGTCTAATAACAATACTTTATTATGTGTTGAGGCGATCCAAAAGTTTTGGTACGTCTATGGTGTTGGTGTGTGCATAGAAAGTATCTTGTAGGAATTGTTTGGATTGAATTAGATTTGATATTATAATTTGGTGAATGTAACCCAAATCGAATTTTGAACTCTACAACTCAAATACTAACTAAAATAAAAGTAAATGTTGATGTGCATGAAATGCTGGATTATTTAAAACTGACCATTTCATACACAACTAAATGGTCAAAAGGAGGCATTAGCTTTGGTTTTAGTAATGTAATCTTCATGTGGAAATCAATAATATAATACAACAATAATAACATACCCGGTAAAATTTTATTAAATAGCGTTTGGAGGATAGTAGAGTGTAAGCGAACCTTAACACTACAAATATACGACTAGTACTACAACAAACACTAATAAGCCTACACCTTCGCATGGCGAAAACACACTCTACCCCTACTAAACTTCTACGCTAATACCTGACCTCCACTTCTTCCTATATAAAGTTATGTGTTCAATAATATGAAATTGTGTCATGTCCTATCTAATCACCCTTTCTCAATACTTTTTTGGTGTAACTTTACCCCTCCGCGTACCCCCTACAACCAGCCTCTCACACTTCTTTACTAGGGCGTTAAGATACTTCATTTACACATGCCCAAACCATCTTAGTCTCGCTTCCCTCATCTTGTCAGACACATAGGTCACTCCACCTTCTCCCGGATAACATCATTATATTCCTAATCTTGTCACTCTTGGTATGCCCACACATCAATCTCAACATCCTCATATCCGTAACATGCATCTTGAAACTTGTGAGTTCTTGATTGACCAACACTCCACCCCACGCGACAAGGACGGTCTAACCACCACTCCGTAGAACTTATTTTTAAGTTTAGATGGTACCTTCATTACATACAATACTCTAGTGGCAAACCTCTATTTCATCCATGTCATCCCAATGCGATATGTGTACCCTGTTATATGTACCTAAGACACCTAGAACTTTCTCTCTTGAAAATAATATATGTGGCTAGCCTTACTTCCACGTTCGCTTCATACAACTCAACCCTAAATTTTCCCTCTAAATATTCCATTTTAGTCCTTGCTGAATCTAAACCATTTGGACACCATAGTTTGTCTTTGAACCTCCAACCTAACATAACTCCGTTTCATGTCTCATCAATCAGTACGGTGTCATTCGCAAATTATATACACCATGAAAGAGAAAATGATCAAAATAATCCTTCATGTATAGGGATTGAATTATTTTGGTTCTTTATATATATCATCTTATCCAAATAGTCTTTAATATATGTATAAAAAGTATCATTTTGGTCCTAACTCTAAAAACTAACTGAAAACATAAAGAAACTGTTAAACTTAACTGTTGGGTCCCACACTTGGTGGGCCCCTTCTTCCTCCTTCTTTCTTCCTCCATTGCTTCTCCTTCACTTTCTTTCTTTTGCCATTTCTTCTACAATTTCTGCTCCCTAAATCTTCTCATACACACAAAAGTTTCTTCAAATTTCAAAAGAATATTCGTAAGGTTTTTGTTTTCTATCTCTGTTTGTTAAAATTTTACCATTTAATTTTAAAAATTGAATGAAAAAAATGACTTGAAAAAATTTCTAATTTTCAAAAGGATAAAACGAAAAGAAAGCTATATCCTCCCCATAGATCACTTCAACAAGAGATAATAAATAGTGTCTTTTATCTAATTTACTTAGTTTACATTTATTTTAATGATCTTGGTTTTCTTCTTCTTTATGTATGATAATGGAAGCTTCTGAAAATTTATTTCGATGGAAATGAAATGGGTGTAGTGTGTATTATTTTTCTTATGAGGATATAAAACACGACCTCAAATGACAAAAGAAGGAAGTTGAGGAGAAAGGTCTGCAGAGGTGATGGTGAACGAAAGCAGATTGAGGAAGAACGGTCTGCGGTGGTGATGGTGAACGAAAGCGGATGGAGGAAGAAGGGTTTGTCATCTGTCAATTTCGCGGGACCCACTGTTAAATCTAAAATTATTTTTTGCTTTTTTAGTTAGTTTTAGGGTTAAGGACTAAAATGATCATTCTTTCATATACATTAAGGACCATTTAGATAAAATGATATATATAAAAGATCAAAATAATTCAACCCTTGTACATGAAAGACCATTTTGATCATTTTCTCCTCCATGAAACGTCATTTTTCTAAAATAAATCAAAAAGTAAAACACATCACAGAAACTAACATGAAGAAAGTAATACATAGTTAGATAAAACAAAAATAATTTTTATAATATTCATATAAAATTACTTATTTACAGTATAGTAATTCTTATACTACTATTAGGGGTCGTTTGGTTTGAAAATGAGTTATGATGGGATAAGTTATGTTGGGATAAGTTATGTTGGGATTAGTTATGATGGGATAAGTTGTGTTGGGATTATTTTTTATTGAGTGTTTGGTTTGTTGTATTCAAAATAATAAATTTTAAGAACAATTTATTTGTTTACAAAAATGCCCTTCATTAATGTAAAAAGTGATATAACAAAAGGGTTGAAAGAGACATTTTTGTCATTTACCTATTTTATCCCGGGATAAGTTATCCCGGGATTACTATACCACCCAAGGAGAGGGATAACTTATCCCGGTACTAATTATTAATCCCGGGATAAGTTATCCCGAACTTGCCAACCAAACAACAAAATAAGCGGTACTATAATTTAATCCCGGGACTATTTGTTATTATACCTCACACCAAACGAGCCCTTATTGATTTTCTATACGTATTATTTAGCAAGAAACATTAGCCGAGGGAGTAAACCGGATAATCTCTAAACCTACCACCCCTAAATGTTAAAATTTAAATTTCATTTATCCCGCGAGTTTTTAAAATTTTCAGCTACCGCCTTAATTGAAAAAGTACACGAATTTCAATATCAACTATCAGCCGTTGATTAAAAACTAAGATCAACGGTTCTAAAACATGATCCGCATCACCATACATTAGCCAATCAGAACTCACTTCCATTTCATTATATAAACCAAACCCTAACCCCCAAATTTATACATCAATCACATTCACAATTTCCTCATTCAAGAGAAAAATGGCACCAAAATCAGAGAAAAAGCCCGCCGAGAAGAAGCCAGCTGAGAAAGCCCCCGTCGCCGAGAAAGCTCCGGCGGAGAAGAAGCCAAAGGCTGGGAAGAAGCTCCCAAAGGATGCTGCCGCCGGTGACAAGAAGAAGAGGAGGGCGAAGAAGTCGGTCGAGACTTACAAGATCTACATCTTCAAAGTTCTGAAGCAGGTTCATCCTGATATCGGTATTTCAAGCAAAGCTATGGGTATAATGAACAGTTTCATCAATGATATCTTTGAGAAGCTTGCTCAAGAAGCTTCCCGACTTGCCCGCTACAACAAGAAGCCTACTATCACTTCTCGGGAAATTCAGACTGCTGTCCGATTGGTCCTTCCTGGTGAATTGGCTAAGCATGCCGTCTCTGAAGGCACAAAGGCTGTTACCAAATTCACTAGCTCTTGAAGAATTTGAACAACTTTAGAGTTAAATGTTTAATTTTACTGTATTAGGGTTTGATGATAGGTGTAAAAATAGTTCATTTTAGTTATTAGCTTCCTTTATCTGTACACATCTTGTGTAATGTGGATTGCTAATCAATCATCTATGAAATCTATCAGCTGTTAATTTAAGTCTCGAATTAAGATTGTTCGGTAGTTTTGAGAATTTGGATTTGTAGTTTAGAGAATTTTGATTGATATCTGCTTAAGTTTGCTAACTTTGTTTACTTGCTCAAATTTTCACCTTCTTTGGTTGTAGCTTTGAGGATTCCCCAATTATCTATCTACTATCCTTTGGAAATGGTAAATTTTACTCTTTATGTTTTATCAGTTGGATCTAATTTCATAAAATCTGTTCAGTTTGTGTTACTTTTACGATGTTGAGATGAAAATGTGATGAATTTTCTATGAAATGCATTGTTATGATGAATTTTCGAATATAGTTGTATAAAATCTGTTCTTTTTGAGCATCCAATTAAGCATGCTGAATGTGGAATGTTATTGAACTGTCTATGTTATCATCATTTTTGTTGATGCTTATTGGGAATTAGTATAACACTGTTGGATTTATGGTGACATGCATATGATTGAATCTGTTTCTCCTTGAAAAATACTGCTTATGTTAGGTGTCAATCTATCTGTTGTCACATTGAACGGTTAGGTAATAGCAGAGAAAACGAACTTGACCAAGAATAGGCAGATTATCCGTCTTGATGTTAGCTAAAATCCTAGCCTGTGTTTTCATCTTTGAAAAGAAACAAAAGATTGTATATTTATCACTTGGTAATAATATATGTATATATCTAGCTCATTTTGTTGTATTTTATTTTCTCCGTCATGTCTGAAGTTCGTGAGTTTTTGAGTGATCATGCCTTTTGTATCTGTATGGAACAAAAACCTTTAAACTATATGTTCTTGTTTGACATCCTTGCAATATTTTAATTTGAGTTCCTTGTGTCTTTATATGACCCTGGTGGATGTGCTTGATCTAGTTGACTATCAATGTTCGATCCTAATTTCTGGAGTCCATTGATTTTCCGCGACTCTGCAAATAATCAAGTCTCTGCTTTGTTTTAGTATGTGTACTTCTCTTTTACTAGTGAATATATGTGTCTGGTATCCTTTGTAAGGATTGACTACTTAAGTGCTCTGTGGTAGGTGATTGCACCATAAGTTACTTTCTTCTGGTAGAGGTAACTTTGACATGTCCATTAACGAAAAATCTTAGTATTGGTATCTGCTGCAATGGAGAAGTCTGTCTTTACAATTCAAGTTCGGTGAAAACGCAGTTTCAATGTGTCATGCTGCAACACACTGGTTTTTGCTGATGAAGTCTGTAAAAGGTGATAACTGAAACTCAGTCCTTACAAATTCTATTGAGATACTTCTAGTCTGGAGTTGATTTCTTGTTGAAGTGTACATTATCAATTGTATTTGATGTAGTTGTATTGACTCATTTCGTTGTTTGAGCAGCTTTCTTAGTTCTGACAATAGTCGCTACCTATTGCAACGTCTCTTTTATTTTTCATAGTGGTTGAGGCGTAGTAGTAGTAGTTGTTTCTTTACTTAGTAGTTGGGATTGAGGCGTAGTAGTAGTTGTAGTTTCTTTAGTTTCCGTTGATTGTGATGGAGGTTTTTCAGCTTGCTGATCAGGACTGACTGCGATGCCCGTGTCTTAAGAAAGTCATGGAGTGTTCAATTAACGCTCTTTAGTGATAGGCGCGACTTTCTTGGTCTGCAGGAGGTCCTGTATCGACTTTCTTGGTATCATCATCCGTTTTGCAAGGTAATTGCATGTTGAGTTTTCGTCTTGCAAGATGATGCATAACAGTTCTGGTATTTTTAGGGTCATTGTATCCGTTTTCTATTTTTCTACTTAAATTTTTCGTGTTTCTTGGTTGTAGCTTGAGGGTCCTTCGATTATCGTTGGCCAAATGAGATTTTTTTTTGTGTTTTTTAGTTGCTTGCAGCTTGGGGGTTCTCCGATTATTGTTGGCCAAATGGGAAATTTCAACCATTCCATCACAACTCATGTTGGCTGTCCCGACTCCAGAGTCGATCTCTAGTGGAATGTTTTTCAATTGTTTCTTCTAACTATTCTGTACTGATTTTACTAAAATATTCCCAGCTTTCCTTTTTGTGTGATAGAATGTAACAGTAGTTTTTTTTACCAAAATGTTTGACGCCATTTTGTGGCTCATGTAATAATTAATTAATATTTTGAAGTTCTAATGGAGCCAAATTCACAAATAATCATTTTTAATCTCTATAAATAAAATTTTAACACAATCATGAAATGTTCAAATCAAGGTATATGAAATTAGAGGACTTTATATTTGAATTTTAAATCGAGATTTAAAATCTTGTTGCAATGATTATTTTTCAATTATAAGGCTAAAAAGTGGCTTGCTTGCACTATTACTAGGAAAAATTATACAGAATAACAAACATTTAACCTATATTAGGTACTATAGCTACAAGTTTAAGAAAATTGTAATTCGCGGCTAAAGTTTTCCCAATTCTTGCTATTCGCTCGTTTTGTATAAATTCAAAATTTGTTTAATTCGATTTTTGACTGTACAAATTCATAATTTTGTATATACTTATCCTAACTATTTATATTTATGAAAAATTCATAATAAATTACCCTGTTTGTATATGGGTAAGTGAAATATACAAATGGAGTTCTGAAAAATTTCTAAATGTTTAAATACAAAATTTGTATATACAGACTGCAAAACAGAACTATAGGTATGAAGCGTAATTATCGAAACTATAGCTATAGAGTCTTATATATAGACCGCAACCTTCATAGCAAACAGAACTATAGGCATAAAGCGTAATTATCGAAACTATATCTATAGAGTCTTATTATGTCTATTATGTTTGGTTGTTTGCTCATTTCTAAATTTTTCTCTTATTACTAACACAAAATAGAGAGGAAGGACCAACAAGTGGAGTTATTGGTCTAAGCCCAAAAGCATTTAATTGCACGGCTTGGCCATTAAATGTGGAGTCTTGAATTTCGCAATTCAAATGAGTTGGTCATTAATTTTATTGTTATAAACTGAACTTACGTATAGCAGGGCATAAGTTTGTCTTTAAGGGCGTGAAACATTATTTATGAAATATTATGATATGAAAATATAAATTTATGTCCCTCAAAAAAGTTATTTACAATGAGGAATAAAAATTAATATTGGTCTGTCATGTCAGCTCCATTGGCAAAAATAATCTTTAAGGGCATTTGTGGTCCAAAACATATATGTCGAGTGTAGTTTCGATGCCAAAAACAAGCGAAGGGTATATGTGAGTTATTGTAATAGTTTAAGGGTAATTTTAATTTTTTTTCCGAACACAAAATAGAGATAAAAGTGCAAATGTTGTGCTCTATTCAGGCCTAATAAACAGATCTGGATTTTGCAAAGGCCCAAAAGAATGTCCAATTGAGTTCTCATGTTTGAAATTATAATCAAATAGATATCTTAATATTTTTAGCCATTTTCAATCGTTTAATCTTGATCGTTTGTAGGCTTCATTGATGTATAAACATTTATGATAAGTACATAGTATAATGCTTACACAAATTTTACAATGATTATTTTGGCTAAAATTATAAAAATTGAATATTGGAATTAATTTTTGTTATGGGCTTTGTTGTTGCTTAAATAATTACAATTCATAATTATTGTTCCACATTCATTTTCAAGTCAATATCCACAACCAACACAATATAGAATGTGATACAAGTACTCCACAATTGTAATTTGTAGCTATATATGTTTTAATTTAAAAGCTAAAAAGTGGCTAGCCCATGCTATTACTATTTGCAAAATATAGGAAAAATCACATTGTATGAGCATTAGGATAAAATTAGAGGAAATAACACAAAGCACATATTGGTGCTAATTACATGTTGAAATAACAATTTTTTTGATTATATTATCTGTTAGAAAAGTATTGTTCCGGATTCATGTATCTGATGAAACAAATACATGTATTTCAGATATACGCGAGTCAAATTTGGTGTAGTTTGTTCCAGATGCACTATATTTAAATAATATTCACATGTATCTGGATACATTGACTCTCTCGCTCGCCTCTCTCCTCTCTCCTTATGTATATGCATTTCAAAATATACATATTTGAGTTTCTCAAATTTTACGTATCTATGTATCTAGTATCAATTTTATGTACCTGTGTTTCTAAAATCAATTTTAAGTGTATCTGATATCAAATATTTAGTATATCCGTGCATAAATACATCTATATATCTGATATCAAAATATGCACTGGTACATTCATCAATTACCTCTAAGTGCTATCATCGCCAAACAGGAAGAGAGTGAGAGAGTGAGAGAAAGAGAGATTATGATTTATCTAATTATTTGGAAGTTAAGTTGATTTATAAGATAAAACTCATTTCATGTGGATTAGTTAATAAGATTTCTTCTTTTTAACCTTACATTCTATTATACTAGTAAAGGCAAATGAGGCTGTGACCATAATTTTTTTCTTCTTAAAAATAATAATAAAAAAATAAAAAAATCTCGATTACTTCAATGTCTATAACTTGAGAGATAAGAGAAAAATTCCTCTCTCGAATTCGAAAACGTAAAACAAATAACGATTCTCATCGCGAGGAGGTCTAAATTATAACCTGTAACTCAAAACACTCATAACACTTGGTGCCATGAATATGCGAATTTATCAAGATATTGTTTAACATCTTAAAATATAAATTATATTATCAAAATAATTAGCATAAAAAAGTGTTTTATATATCAAGAATTTTAAGACCAGCCCATCGTGGCCATTTAAAGGACACATATATACACTCTTGGCTTATAGAAAAAGTGAAAAAAAAAATTGAATGAAAAAAAGAAATAAAAAGGACAAACATATTAAGTGCTTCCTTGTGAAAAACCACATATGTAACATGGTTTCATCAGTAACATGAAATTA